AATTGTTTGGCAGCCTGCAGGCAGTGTATTATGTAACAAGGCACATAAGTGGTCAGCACCAAACCAAAGTGTAGACTTATATTGTGAGATGGGTGGAGTGGGGCGAGGTTTCTGCTGGACGTGAACATGATAGGCTTCTCAGTTTCCCACTCCACTCCTCTCTGTAGCTATGTATCTCAGTATAATCTCTCGCAGTCTTTCTGTGCTTTGCTCTCCCACGTATCGGCGTCCATTTGGATCAAATTTCTCCCTGAAAATAGGAATAAACATTGAGCAAATGCTTGGCCTTTGTTCTGAGAAGCACAACCTTCCACCCTATTGCTGATGTAGCTATTGTTGTAGCATCAAGAGTAAGGTAACTTGTTCAGACATGCTATTGGTCTGGGTCCTGGGTGAATATACAGTACTTGTCATCAACTGCACCTTTCTTTGTTGATGGATAATCATAGATGCAACCATATCAACCAGAAATGTTCTGACTTGCTCCCATACAAACACAGTTACTATGTTTTACTGAAAAAGAATCCTGTGAAGTGATTTGAAACAACTTGATAGAGCACTAAATCAAATACAAAGATTAATATTTCCTTAGATTGGCTGTTTTGAGCAGTTGAAAAAATGATTCTTTATGATTGCTCTCACCTTCAAATGGAGAGCGGGTGTCGAGAGGTACAAGCATAACAGGTAGCAACACATTTTCAGGCTAGATTTTAGGTTGGGTAAGAAAAAATAAATTGAAGTTGAAAACAGAAGTGATGGAGAAAGACAAAATTAGTGAAAACAATTTTCCTTTAATTGGTGACTTGCATTGTGGTTGCATTTATACAGCATGCGTCACATGGAGTGATGTCTTGGAGTGCTTGACAGTGATGAAGTTTGACATTGCGCCGGGTGGGGGGAGTTGATGGTGTGCACAGTTGAAGAGGAAGGTCTTTAGGTGTGATCTGAAGGTGAGAAGGAGGAGGCAAGGCAGAGGGTCTGAGGAAGAGAATTCCATAGTTTGGGAGTAATAGTGAGGACCCTATGGCCGCTGATGGTTGTGTGGAGGGACAAGGGATGCACAGGAGGCTGGAGTCGGCTGAGTTGAGGCAGCAGGTAGTGGATAAATGAGCAGTGAGGATGTTGGCTTGAGGCTAGACGTTGAGATATCAAGCCCGAGTCTCCTCAATTGTCTGGGACGGGAACAGGCTATATTGGAATGTTACTTAGGTTGCAAACCCCGACACCCTAAGGGTTAAACAAAACTGCACCACAATGGTTTAAAATAGGCTGATACCAGAAGTTTCCTCTCCAAACTATTATTCAGTTACATTTTTCAAATATTTTTACAGCAAACTGATTAAGATACACTCACACTTGAGCAACATTCCAACAGAGCTTGTTGGTTCCCATCCCAGACAATTGGGGGGAGACTCGAGAGTTGATTCCTCAATAGCTAGCCGCAGGCTAATATCCTCGCTGCTCATTTTTCCAGTGATTCACCTCTAGGGCATTCAAATGGTCGGGATGGTTTTCTGAAGCTTTTTAATGATTTTAAATACAACCTGAGACATAATTTATATGTGATCAAGGAGATAACGTTTGCACATAATGGAAGTCAGGTTTAAGTAAAGCTTTCCAATCATTGGAAAGTACGATGTTTTCGTAAAAAATAATTTGAAGAGAATCCAGACATTGATGTAATCCCTGTCTAGTCTCAGACGCTCAAGGATAGGCGAGTGCAAAATAGAATAGATTATTGGAGAGACACTAAGATAAGGGAATTATACACCCCCAATATGGAGAATTTCAACTGTATTCAAGCATCAAAGTCCATTAATTTGTACATTTCATCATTTACCATTGATTATTTTATTATTTGTGTACGCGAGAGAGATTGAGTGATAGAGAGGGGGAGATTAGTACAACTAAAGCATTGTGTACAGTTATTGCAGATAGTTCATGCCCATTGGATGATTAAGCTTATGAGCAAGTCGGTGAGACTGCTCAAAAGCATTGCACATAATACCCTGAACGGTTGGTAAAAAGGTGAGGATCTTATTCAGCGAGCCTGGACTGGATTTATTTCCTGTGGATGAAAGAACAGTGTACTTTCCTACTATGCCACAAGCCCCTAGTGAATCACTAATACAATTAGCTATAATTCCCTTCTTTTGATTTAAACATTCTCTTGAAAACAGAGTGTACAGTACAAATATAGTGATCATCCAGCGTATATAAACATACAATTTCCCAGGGTACCCAGATATATGCCTGAGAGACAGTATCAACCATTTAACACTTTACAACTTAAAAGCTTGTAGGTTTGTTACGATTAATTGCATCCTATATTCAATGCTCCAGTAATAGAAGAGATAATGTGCTGACAATCTCACACGAGAGTCCCTCTGGATTAAGAAGAGATAAAGATTCTTGTTATTCAAGTTCATTCAGAAAAAACAAACCACAATAAACAATAAAAAAATTGTGCTACATGTCACAATTGCTATGAAAGCAAAAACAACTGATACAACTGTGTAGTCTAGTTTGACCAGGGATTAGGAGAAATTGCATGAAATACAACATTTAGAGTACATGATGTTTCTAAATCTTTCCATCAACAATACCATCATCCCATAAAAAATGTATATTAAAGTTAGAGGCTTGAAAGGATATGGGGATAGGGCAGGGCTGTGGGATTGAAAGTACACTTGCTCTGAGAATCGATGCAGACTCAATGGGTCAAATGGCCTTCTGATGTGCTGTAAATTTCTATGGTTCGTCCACAAATACAGTAAATACAGTAAATCATGTGAAGCACTTTGGGATGTCCACCAGATGACAACGGATCTATACTAAATGCAAAGATTATTATTAATAATTATATTATTCACTAAATTAAAAGCCATGGAAACGTTACTCATACATTGGCTGGAGATCTTCTTGAAAGTTCGACGGAACCACTCAATACGGGGAAGTCAAGTAGCTAAAAGTATATTGAAAGCTCGTGGTCATCAGTGTTATTGATGGTTTTTTTACAAAACATGAATATATTCTACAATAAAAAACATAATGTTTAAAATTGAATACTACAATAAGAGTCTCAACTCTGACCCACTTTATCCCATCCCTAAATGATCCAGCAAGTTACAACACCAGCAGTTTCTAACACAGTTAAAGGGTAAGTGACACTAAATATTCATTTGGAAAATATATAATTGCCACAGTAGAACTGCTTAATTTTTTTAATAAATCATCGTTGTCTGATTTAGAAACTTCAACTGGACTAGGTTAAATAATCTTCTTGACTTTACCAGCTCAGTATTAAGCAGTACCTTATACAGATGCCATAAAGAGTTGATGTAAAAAATATTAATAAAAGAGCGATCCTGTTATAAATCGTGATGATGAGTCACAGATATACAAAAAAAGTACACATTTCTTTTGACTCAGGTTCAAACCATTAAAATGTCTTCGCTCCAACAGAGGATTGGGAATCTTGCCAGAAGTATTGAAGAAGGATTTAAATTGGGGAACCGGTCATAAAATGGGTGGAGCAGGGAAGCTATCAATTAAATTTTTTTTTAGTGCTGGATTTTAATGACAACAGCTAGATGTAGTTAGTACTTAAAGACATGAGTCACACTATGCAACCTGTAATGGTTTAAAAGTACACACCCTTTTCCTGTCAAATTGCAACTCCAAAATACGAGCAAGGTTCCTTGAATTAGGGCTTTAACCTGCTGTTTAATTCGGTCCAGTAAGGCCAAGCGTGCTTAAATCTATCTCTAATAAATATTTCAGGTGCAAATTCAGAGATAATTACTGAATCATTTTCATTTTCTCCATCGAGTATTTTGGAGGAGCAGATTTATATGAGTGCGTCATTATAACAAACACAATAGGTGAAAAAACATCTCCTTTAAATTTTTGAAATTTTTCTTCCTTTTGCACCATCTTTTTTGAGACGTCTAGAAAACGTGAAAAGCGCGAAATCAAATGCCAGCATAATAATAATAATAATTTTCTACTGCATGAGGGTTTGGAATCAGAAATTATTCTGTACTTAGCTTTGTGACCCAGACAGAGCAGGAGATGGAACGGGTCATTTTTGGTGATGCATTATATCACAGAATCCCATGATCTCCACCCCTCTCCCAAGGCAAAACTTACCTATTTTGGGTGCGATGTGAAATGAAGGCAAACCGATATTTTCAAAGAGTTTTTGTTTTGAAGAAGCCGTCTGTCCTACTGCTTCATTTTCAAAATCCATTTCTGGAAAAAAATTGGTATCTCTGTATTTCTTTTCAACAACCTACTGATTCCGGCAAAGTTCAAACTCTTAGTAAAGCAAAGCATTATTTTCAATACCGGCTGCCTTTGGATCTCCATCATTGAACCTTGTCCTAGAAAAAAAAACCTTAATTTTAACACATTTCATTGTGTTAAAACCCAACAGCAAACTCATATCTTGTTAGAAAAGCCCATTGAAAAACAATTTAATCTGCAGCGGATTCAAAGGTGCTAAAGTGCTTTTCCATTCCCTTCTCAATCACAAAAAATTGGCAAACTCTTATGGGCACAATAACTCAATCTCAAGAAGCTGAAATGGGAGAACAACCGAGTTAATAAAATAAAAGCTTTTTAATTAGTTACTAATGACCGTTACATGTGAAGCTCATTGCATATACAGTGCCATCCGGTGGCACTGAAACGTACTCCACTGCATTCGATTCATCAATATACTATTTAACCGCACACACATTAAAATGATATAAATCCAGTGGAATTTGGAAACCCTGAACTAAATTTCATGCCTTTTTTGTGCTTTTTCAGTTATTTATTTTACCCTATAAATAACTGAACTTATTTATTATCAATGACGTGATAAGGCACTTTATCAAATTCAAGTATTATTATTAAAAGAGCAAAATAACATTTATTGTGTAAGAAAATTGAGGTTTTGCGAGACGAGGTGGAAGAAGGTTCAATAAGCTGAATAAATTTCTTATTCCTGAGTATTTTTAGTATGGAAATAATACTTTTATACAATGTTTAAAATTCACATACTTCAAGATAATCAAATACGTGAACAGAATGCAGCAAAACAACACAGTACAATATTTGTTGTTATAAAAACTTAAATGCAGTAACAAAATGGAGATGGCTTCACAGGTCAGCTGAGTTCTAATGGTAAGGTTAGCAAAACACATTTGGTCTGGGGAGGAAAAAATAGAATACATTTTCAACAAACATTGTGCTACAGGTCATATGTACAAATCTGTTTAGTAGAAGAGAAAAAAAACATTGTGCAAGTTTATCTATGCATTCAGGTTAAATTGTGTTGAAACAAGTGTAATCACTTTATGGGAGTGTATATACAAATCAATCAGAACTCTACATACAAACATTTTCAAAGCTTTAAATTTCTTCAAAGGTATAAAATGAAGCAATAAATGCAATAAATGTTTTTACAAGTCTCACTCTGGCATTTACTTTGTTCATCGTCCTGTCTTTCAGACAATGTGATTTATTTGAATTTCTGATAGAAAAAGAATAAATGTTCACTTTATTTCACAAGAAATAAATATGTAGAGAAATGTATACAAAGACAGTTTAATGATTACACATAATACTTGATGACCCTGTTGACTTTATTAGGTAACAGTTTCTGTGCCAGAAGCAGCTGCATCTAAGTGTAGGCTGCAACCCCATGAGAGGTAAACTTGCATCTTGTACTTATTCACGTACAGTGGCCACTTAAGATGCCATACTTTTAAAAGTTAGCATCTAATTTGTATGACAAACAAAGGTAAAGTGTGTAACTGGAGTTCCCAGGCTGGAAGTTTTCTTTAGCTCCAATCCATGCTCCATTTAGTCTGACGGACTGACTTGTTGCAAAGGGTAGTTTTGATTATCTAGACATTCTTGGAGTTTATCTTCTGTCAATGTTAAACGCTGCTCCAGGATCGAAACAGTCTGTTAAAGAGAGTAATAATTACTAATTGTTTTCACCTGAAATTGTAGACAAAGTGAAATATTACTATATACAAAATAGATTTTGCACACATACAATACGAGTGTGGTAATACAGTCTTAATACAGTGCTTTCACTGGTACTAATGAAAAGTCAGTGCTGCTATGAGTACACGTGTTAATGGAGGTTACCTTTGCCTGCCTATAGGGATTGGAGTTTGAATCAAGATTCGTGCTTGGAAACTGTGATATCAGGACAGTAACTTTGAATGGTATCAAATTGGCAGTTATAGAAAGGCTATAGTTCTATTGTTGTTGTGCTGATCTGAAACTCTGACTGTCCAGAGCCTTGGGATGTTTTCCCGATGTGAAAGGCGCTATACAAATGTAATTTTATTGTTGTTGATCATGACTTTGGTTTTGTCATGTTTCATGGACCCAAATATTGAATAGCTGTCGAGCTTTGAAGCTGAGAAATTTAAGGCTGGAACCACAGAAGGTTGTATGAGCGCAGCCTTCCAGACAATGATTTCCAAGTCAACACAGAATACCCTGAGCTATGTGACCTTCAGGATAATTCCCGGGAATGCTCCTCACCTTCTCTTAATTCCTTTTTCACCCAAACTCGGGACAAGCAAATGGCTGTGAAGACTGCCTTCAGGTGAAGATATGAAGCAGAATCATACTTCTGGAAATCGTGCCACTAAGGCAGATAAATGTTGGCACCAGAGTTAACTGAGTAAGAGTATTTACTTGAAGGTCTGTGCCTGATCAAAACTCACCAAACAAGACATGCTTTTCTCTTCAAGACTTGTTGACTTGAAAGTTTTCTGAAAACCTCTAAGAAGTCTTTTGTAAAATGCCAAAACAACTAGACTTTAAAGTGTAAAATCATCAGGGTGCTCATTTTGGAGTCCTGTAGCTCAGTGGTTAGAGCACTCGCTTTGCAAGCGAGAGACCTGAGTTCAATTCCAGGCAGAGGGCGAAACCTTGGGCAAGTTTCCTTACTCCACACAGAGCCTAATAACAATCCCTCCAAAACCAAAAACAATAATACAATTGGTCATTTTCAATCTACGACTGTTTGTGGGACATTGCTGTGCGCAATTGGCTGCCGCGTTCGCCCACAAATATACGGTCAAATCACTTTAGTGTGTTCTGTGAAGCGCTTTGGGACGTCCTCCCGACGTGAAAAGCGCTATATCAAATGCAAGGATTATTATTATTATTATTATTTTGGGTGAATGGACACGATTAAAGCTATCAATGAGAGTGGGGGCTCGAGGTGAAACTTTACATATAAAATGGAGGGAGAAGGGGTAGGGGGAAGGAAATATTATTTTTGACCCTCTTTTTGATGATGCATGGTTAAGAACTTCTTATAGGGATAGTGGCATGACATTTTTCCCTTCATTGGGAAATTCATTTTTAGCTGGAGGCCAAACAAATTTGAAAACAATTTTTCTTCCCCAAGAGATAAAATGTCAAGAAAATAAGAATGAGATTCTGTCCCTGTTTGCACGTGGCAATCTCTCAGCTCCTGGGTTATGCAACAGAATAAGCAAAACACATTGTCATTAATTTTGGGCACTTGAATCAGAAATAGTTTGTGAATTTTTCATGTTCTGAGTAAGATCAGTATTTGCACATAGGATTTAAACAATGTGGTCTGTGGGATGCAGTGCATTAGTCATAAGTTAACCACATATTTATGGGAAACAAATGGAAGTCCTGCCAAACTTCATCCAAACAATCCCTTTCATATGGTTTTGAATTGCAAAAATATACACACGTGCGATTGTGTGACCAACTGTATGTGTCCATGGCATTGTGACAAAGTTCTGTGCTGGTTTCTGTTTATTTGTTGGCAGCAAAGTATGTTTAAGTGATAGTCTCAGTAAGCAGACCATACGAATAAATGAATACCTCGTGGGTATGTAACCAATTGCAGAGGTGTTACTCAACATAAGTAGGAGTGTACTGTACCAAAGGATTTTTTGTTTTAAAAGGCTGGGAATGCTGAAGGAAACATTTCAGATTTTTGCCATCTTTTTGACATTCACACTTTGTCCGGAGCTAAAAATTTACATCATTCTATATTTGGACTGTTCAACACGAAAAACAATGTTAAACAGCATTTTTTAGTCATAATTTCTCCCTCTCTTGAAGGGATTGGACTCCTTTTTCCTCTCAGTACAGTTTCATGGGTGTCTCCGGTACCTCATTTGAGTGTCTTTTATTCACGTGATCCTTGCCAGAGTTTTGGCAAGCTAATCGACCACTGAGAGCATTGAGATCAGCTAACTCTACACACATTTGTGATCTGTGTGGCCTATCCATAGTGACACTGGAGGTCCTTAGATGATCAGCAGTAATTTTTAAAGTTATGAACAATAGCACAATTTCTCCCTCGCCCTCACACACACATCCATAACGCATCTCTACATTCACACACTATTTTGAAAGGTTATTTTTTTCCCCATATTGTTTAGGTGGACAGTGAATGTGTGGCTGGATTGGTTATGGTTATGTTACATTGATATGTTAGGGTTTTGCTAGATTATTTTAGGGGTTAAGGGAGAAATTTTACAAAGCATTATTTTGGAAATCTTATCTAGTAGTAAGTCGTCTCAATCAGAGGAAATAGGTATAGAACTAAATGTTCAGTTTGTACATGGCATATGCTTGATGAGTGAATAGTTTTTTCTTATTTAATACTATGTACATATCTGAGTATGGTTTATTATGGGCTTTGCACTGTAAGTGCAGTTTGTTAGAGGAAAATGTGGGCCAGACCGCCTTTTGCAGCAGACCTATTTTTGAACCCTACACAAAACTAGTTTTAGTTTCCATTTTCAAATAGTGCAGGCATTGCATAGTTCTTTTGAATGTTATTTACTCAAACAAAATAAATTGCAATTTTTCCACCCACTATAAATAATATCGAAAGCCTCCTAATAAGTCATACCAAATAAATCTATAAAAGAAAATCCTGCAGTGTACATGAGAATTTAATATATTTCACAGCACAATACAAGTCGAGAATTGGGAACTTTCAATCACACTAGTACACTTACCTGGGTTAACACATCTAATTGCTCTACAATGTGCTGTAAAGTGCTTGCAAGTGCTGGTGGGACCTCTTTCTGGTACTCCAAAGGGCAAGTTACAAGTTCACTGCCAGATTGGTGCATTCCACGTGACGCGCTCACTTGGTCTGTTAAAACTGGTCTGTAGTCGGATTCGGCTGCATTTGCCTGCGATCAATCAAGAGGGGGAGAAAACAAGATATGTCATTCTTGCATTCCGATGTGATGTGCTGAAGATATTAGCTTCATCTGTCTTCCTGAAAGATGTCCAACTTCAAACAGTTCTCACCTCAGAGTGAAGTCTGGCAAAGGAAGACACCACGCAACAAAGACACTGTGTGTTCAGAGAATTCAACAGCTTCTGACCAACTCTATTCACACATCAGTTACATCTGCCACACATCTGTTCTCATGGGCTTGCAGTGATTCTAATAACCAGTTTAAAGCAAAAATGTGTTGTTCATGAAGTAAAATCTAGCTGTAACATGGATTAGGAAAATAAAATTTGGCAAAGAATACATTCAGAAATCGTTTTAATGCGGATGCTCGTAGTGAGCAAAGGAAATCGTTTGTTTTATGTCTTTGTCTGGATTTTAAAATGAGGATTAACCCCATTTTCTTTCACACTAACAAATTATTAAAGCAACAACTGTACAGAGTGCAATGATCCTGACGCTAATTTTGTTTTTAACAAAGGATTAAGCATGATAATTTTTAAAACAGCAGCAAATTGGATTATGGCACTTGTCCATTTGAGTTTCACTATAAAGCTGCTCAGATTTGTACAAAAGTACATCTTTACCATTTTTTTAACCATTAAAAATGCAGAAGGTCAAAGGAAACAGCAATCTTCCCAGATCTCCTAGTTTCTTACCTTTTCCGCACACACTTACTATTATAACTATTCATCATTCAAAGAGTATTCTGTAATAACGAAACTGTTCAACAAACATACACTGGAAATCCATTCCAGGTAGGTTGTATTCCTTGGCAGCTTAGAAGATAAACAGCCAACCAACCTAATTGTAGGGCTTGTTCCAAGGCTTTGCGAGCCTGGCACTAAGAAGTAGTTGAGATTCTCTCTGTGACAATATTTATGTCTAGCTTTTTCTCCCTCACTGTGGAAAATTGCACAAACTCCACTTGGAACCTTCCCACATCAGCAAGCCCCACATCAGGTACTCAGCCAGGCAGTGATTCCAACTGCATCTCACCTTTTCACTGCAAGCTGTTACTCCACCAATCTGCCCCACAACTCAAGGTCAGTGTGTGAAATTCATCCCATGAATTGGTCATTTGGTCAGAGCACAAGTGGGATAAATAAACTCATTTGCAAAGTTTCTGAGGTGTATGCAGTTTACGCCATGCCAAACAAAAACTAAAAGCACCTTATACATTAACCCTTCCAGCGCTGATGGGCTTTAATTCGTCTGGCTGCAGGGCCTCTACACTGCCTTTCGCTGCTGGTCAATCTTCACTCTGGATTGAGGCAGAAAAATGAGTCAAAGGCTGACCCCAAGTGCATCTATGATGCGACAGTTAATCATCAATCTCTAGGCTGTTGATTGGCTATAAGTCAGTACATCAAAACCCATGCTTTTGGAAAGTTGTTACCCAAATGGAGCGCAGGAATCCAGAGAGGGCAAGAACAACAACAACAAGCATTTATATAGCGCTCTTCACGCCTCGGAGCTCTTAAACCCAGAAAGACTGGACCCCACAAAGACTGTAAACTGGAGAAATAGTAACTGGAGGATAGCAATCTAGAGGAAGGAGACAGGATAAGTGAGTTTTAAACCAGATTTTAAACTTCAGAGGTATGTGTGCTTGGGGCTGGGGTTGGTGGGGTGGAGAAGAAATAAAAGTAAACTTTTTTTAAAAAAAGGCTGATTGAGAATGGAAGGGATACGGAATATTTGAGTGGAATTGAGTATTTAAACTATTTATTCTTAGTTTTTGTGCCATTGAAGGTTATCACTGCAATAAAAGGTCCCCTGTTCCACCATTGGAAGTCAGGCTTTCAGCGTATCTGCTCCCACTCCCGGAATCCCTTCGATTCACCTCTTCCCTTGGCTCCTTCAAGGTCCATCTCAAGACATTCATCTTTACCTGTACTAGTGGCCATCTTTAACCCCCTCACCCACACCTCCCACCCTCAGCAAACCACGGACTGTCCAGTGCCTTGGGACGGCCTCCCGCAGTGAAAGATCGCTATATAAATGTAAATTTGTATTATGAAACTATTCCTTATATTTTGAGTGGGTTTATTATGATTGTTTCAGCATCATTAGGTGTGACTTACGAAACAGTCCAAGTGTGAATCATAAAACATGATCCCTCTATTCTGTATGCAGCTGCTTAAGACACTACAGACTTGGACTTGTTGGTTTAACATTGTGAAAGATAGTGCACATAAAAAAGAACAGTCATAACTGGTCAGGCTTTGAAGGATTACTTCTCTGAGCCAGGAAAAAACAGAAGACACAAAGCACAGTTGATGCATGAATGCAGGAAGCTATTACCACAGCATTAGCAGCCGGATGTCACGCAGGAAATTAAATTGGTAGCTTCTGTAAATACAATATCACAGAGACCTACTCGTAATTCATTAATACAGTTTCCTGTCAGGCCATAAATGATACTTTTTTTGTGTGGTAGTTACACAGTGGCATTGGTTTCTTATCCAATAATTAAACACATCCATTCTTGAGTTTAACACTTCTACCAATAAACTCAGATAGCACAAAGTGGCGGAGATTTGTTTCACAACAACTTATTTATATAGTGCCTTTCATGCCTTGAAGCAATTCAGTGGAAAAAACAAAGCTAAAAGTTCTGGGAATTGTTTAATAATTGTAATATAGATTCAGTTGCAAATTTACAAGGTCTGATGTCACCTTTGTCTTATAGGTCTGCAAATAACAACTGCAATATCAGTAACAGATCCTGCCTCTCTCCAAAGTAGGTGAGGTGGTACCAAGGGGCCATAAACCCAAGATTGTTACTGGAAGACTTAAGGGCAGAGGATAAAATAAACATTTTTGCATAGAGGGTTATTAGAAGAAGGTTTGCGTTAATGGCTATTGAGGCCAAAGCCATAACATTTCAAATGGGAATTGACTAAACATTTAATGCAGAAGAATATAGAAGGACAAGGAGGGCCCAAAATAGTAGTGTTTGGTTCCAGGGAGGGTCCTGCACTAGCAGAGGCTTGATGGGCTGTAATATCTATGATCCTATGTTCTGTGTGTGGCTCCAGAGATAGCAATCCCCCACCATAAAGCACTGCCATTGGAGGCTCCCTTGTTTTCTGGTCAGGCAGAATGATGGTGGAGTGTTCTTTTGATTGCTTGCTTGCTTGCATGCATCTTCCAGGAAAGGTGCAGCAACTAAATAGTCATAAAGATGATTTAGAAACAACTCTACGTGTTCAAGCCTAGTTGTTTTTGCTGTTCCGGTTGCTGTAGAAACCGAGCACCAAAATAAATAAGACTATTTCCTGCGTCTATATCACCAAAACAAACTATAGCAGGCCTTCTTCAAACATATCTCTGATCCATTTAAAGGGGAAAGTTAGCACTAGCAAAAACTGAATCCTTCAATATTTGCAACTAGGGATTTTAGGAAACTTAACAGAATCAATTCTAGACAGTGACACTTGAGTGATTCAGTAGAGAAAATGACTATTACATTATGATTTCTCTACCTACAATTGACATGAATGACTATAAAGGGCTATGAGGCATCTTAACATATTTTGATTTATCACAGAACATTTCCTCCCAGGAAGTTTTTTTAAAAAAATGATTTTCTTCCTAGACTTTGGTAGGAGATAGTTCCAGTACAAAGTGTTTCTCACCAAGTACTGATCTTCCTTTAAGAAGAGTTCAACAGAAAATTTATCACATACAGTAAAAAGAAGAAATGGATGCACTGCTTTCAATCAAAACCGACATCAAAGGTGAATGAATGATGCTCTAAACAGACACGGGATTTAAAAATAACCACACAGGAAGGATCGTGTGCTTCCATGTTCATAAATTGCAGAAATTCCTATCAAGTCACCAGCAGTCAAAAATAACAAGAGGAAGTATAGTTTGTGTGTGGGACATTTGAGGAATGGTTTGAAATATCACAACTGCTCCTGAAAATGCTAGTATGTAACTTTTGTATAAATAGCTCACTAGTGCAGCTATCAATTTTCTCTCAAATAATATTTCATTTTTCATTAATATGTTTAAAGATTGAAAGCTTGTCACAATTATTCTAATATCAAGGATATATGCAATAGAAACACAATGCATCTTGCCCTTTTCTAAACAACGTTTTAAGACTTTATTTAACCTTCTCTGGAACATCTCAATCTGAATTCTAGTTAGTATATACTTCTGAGAGGCAAAATAAATTACCTGATTTTGAGACACTGTAGAGCCGTTTTCACTCACCCCTCCCATTTTTGGAATTCACTTTATGCAATCATTTTGTCTGCAAATGCATTTTTAAAGAGGCTCAAAAACAATCTTCTGTTCCAAAAAATTTTAAAAGCATAAATGAGCTAAAAAAATGAATGCTATGATAGACTGGAGGGGGCAACAATATTTTATTTGTTGCAAAGGTAACTATTTCTGGTGATGTGGTTTCCATGGTATGTCACTAGATTATTTTTGTACCTCCTTTTGCAAAGGCTAGGCACTTAGTAAGAAAAGGTACGGATTAATGAAAGTAAAAAGCCTTAACGGTGGAAGACAACAGCTTGATTGGCTGTTCAAGTTCTAAAAAGGATTCAGGTTATACTATTCCTGATGGTATAAATTGGCAGATTTAGTGTCTAAGACTAAATATACTTTACATGTTTCCATTTGGACACAGTACTTTTTTTTAAAAGCTATAGCATTTCTGCACTGCAGTGCAGCAGTGAAATCACTGGATCTTTCTCACAAATAAACAGAACCTTTATTTGACCCCGACTTAATTGGTAGCACTCTTGCATCTGGGTCAAAAAATGGTGGGTTCAAGTCCCAAATTGAGATTTTGAGCTCCGAGTCTAGGCTGACGCCTCTAGCGTGGGGTGTTAGGAGTGTGCAGCAATCCATTGTTAGAGATACCAACCTTCAGATGAGGTTTTAAACCTAGGTTTCGTCTGCTTGGTCAGATGGATGTTAAAAACC